AACTACGGATTTTTAAAATTAGAATGAAATTTTACGCAGGATGCGCAGTTTAACAATTATTTGACAAATATAACCAACGCTTACATGTTACAAGGCAATACATTATCCATCGATACACGAGATCGCAATTCTGCGATTAATAAACGCATCCTCGAAGAACCGGATCGGGAGTAGTGACTCTAGGCCAGAGTGGCCTGAATGTTTTCGCGAGACTCGATCTCGGCTCATCTTCCCTCTCCTGTTTCACTTTCAGTTCGATTTTCTCCTTTTCAACCTTCTCTCAAAACGAATCAACAACATTCGTATAGCTAACACTGACTAATTTGAAATCAGCTTGTAATTAACGCACCTTTAACAAAGGTGTATTTAATATTGACTTGGATGCATGACGTAAACAAACTAATACTTCTTGTATTATATTTGAGATTGTTACACGCACTATGCATTAATTTTTTGATCAAATTTAACCGCTGTAATCATAACAGCGTCTCATGTATACAGCGGTAATAAAATTTAAAAATGTGTCACATGTTTCAAATACTATCGTGAGCCACTAAAAATTTACGACATAGCACAGATATCGTATGAAAATTATTTGTTAACAAGGCGATTTATACGTAACCAAAATCTGATTCCCAACGAACGTGTTAAAACCATGCAACAGCATGACTCTGCGCAAAAGTTTCAAGTGAAATATTTAATTTCTTTTCGCTCTTCTTTTTTTCTTCTACCCAATCTTTCAACGCGATGCAAAATCGTATAAAAATTTGCACTGTACAATTCTTCAGTAGCATCTTTCTCTTTTTGAATAGTTTCCACCAGGTGGAAACTAGACCTCGAAAAATCTAGTGGGAACAGTTTCTACTCACGAATGGCCGGGGACGTCGGAGGAAAGGTTAAATAACTGGAATTATGGTTCCATAGACGGTACAAAGATCGTTCACGTGAACGATATTCGGCTGGCGTTTCCCGCACTGTTCCATTTGCTTTTATCCACCGGTATAATCCTCTCTCTCTCTCTCTCTCTTTCTCTCTCTAATTTCCTCGCCCTCTCGTCGGGTCGCTCGTTTTCACTCGCAGGCGCCACGTAAAATAATAATATTAAGCCAGGTGAGATTTAATCGGGGGCCTTTGAACGAAGCCTGACTGGCATGCATGCTTTGAAACCGCGGCCGCACCGTTTCCCTGTGTTTCACCTCGTGTATACCTGTGTTTCGCATGTGTGACGATAGGTTCGCGCGAGCGTGCGAGAATTACATTCATGTTTGAGCTTAAGTGCACTTGGCCGGCTGACGTTGCGCCACCCGAAGGATATAATAATTCGTCGTTCTTCCAATAAGTTCTCGCCGAGAAAACCATTACCGAAAGAAATTTGAACGCGAAGAGAACTTCCTTGTGGATGAAAGTTTTACGCGAAGTGCGATTGATTAAAGGGAATTCTGTCGGAAACAAATTTTTTTCAAGTAGGACAGATATTTTGAGGTTTAGAAATATGAAGAATTTTCTAAAATATCCAATAGGTATATAAATATAAAATATACACATTTTCCTTTTGTGATAATATTCTTTATAACGATAGTAACCTGAGAATCAAGATTGTAATTTTACTACAAACAGAATTTCATTTTGTAGTGTTCAATTGAAATCATAAAATTCAAGAGTTGAGAAAGAAAAGAATTAATTATCAATGTTTCACAATTATAGTTAGGCTACAGTTCTCCAATTGTTCATTTTTTCGTTTTTCTTGTATCGTTTCTCCCTTGTATCTTATTCCATTCCCTCTTTACTTTCAAGGCAAAACAATTATCTTCGTATCATGAAAAATAGATTACGATCTGCAGTGTGCTCGGTTTCATTGAAAAATGCTCAAATATTTGGAAAAATACGAGAAATATAAAATAATGTTTCGTGATGTATCACTACCGACAATGACGTGAACTTTCGGGTAATGTCAATGTCAACGGCACATGGAATTTCACATGGAAATTTGTAACTCGATAACGGATGGTTTTTACTGTTTTGAATATATTTGAATATTAGCTACAGGAACATGAATAATAAAGAATAAAAGAATTTTTCTTCGAGACAATTTTAGATATTCGATAAGTTTTAACCAAAGACACTGTATATAATTTTACACGTTAATCTCAGTAATATTTAAAAAAAAAAGAACCGCCTCCAATAATCATTACATCTATCAAATTGTAAAAACATCAACTGAATTATACCGCTGTACAACAATATCAGCAATAATCCAATCTAAATACAAATCTACGATTTTCAAACTGTAGCGACTTCAAACTGAGCGACTATTTCGTTCATCAGGACGTTAATAAAAGCATTCCTTAACGACAAGGATCGAAGCAATGAAAAAATATTATTGACGTCGCTGGAGGAAGCAACACGGTCGCAACATGGCCTAAGATTTGCATGCGTTAAACGCCGCTAATAATCGGCGCTATTAACGTCGGTGGCAAAGGAAGTAGTAATTACCAGGACATGCCGGGGACGCTTAATCGAAAGTGATTCGCTCATTCCGCCTGAGCGAGCGTTTCTCCAGGATTTATCTTTTTGAGAAATTAAGTCAGACGTGAACCAAACGGTACACGATGCGTTGCAAGCAAGTTTTATTGATTAAATATGGATTAAATGCTGGTCACAGAGTAATACGGATTATCTTCTTGCACCTAGTTTGCAAATTAACTCCTTACTGCAGGATCTGAACTTTTTTTTTTTTCTCCGTTGAAAGTGACTCGTAGCTGCTTCTGTTTTACACAGGATGTTTCTATAATCGTGGTGTAACTGTAAAAGCGGCAGTCCTTCATTCGGAAATTTATAGTTGGCGTAGTATTTATAGTTGACGTAGCGAAGTTATTTCTCTTTAAAAGCTCCACATTTAAAAATTGTACATTATAGTCTTAATTTCACGCTCACAAAAATACTTTCTATGTTTTATAAATATATATCTATATCTAGTGTTTGAATCACTACGATGAAAATTTGATGTAGGTAGGTCACGAAATAAAAATATATTACAGTATAATGTTGAATTTTTACAAAACATTTAAAATTTCTTAGTCAATGAAATTATGAATCTTATTTTAAACATTCACGGTCATCGTGTGAAAGTTTTATTTTACTCCATTAAATTACATTTTCATAAGAAATCACCTCCTTTTCTATTGTGTCACAATTGAAGAGACACACTATGCTTTTTATGAATGTACCTATTTTATTTTACTGACTGAAAAGTCCGTCCATATATCCATAATCCCAAATAACACAATAAAATTGCGTAATTCCATTTTACCAAAAATTTCATGTTCCGTAAAAACCGAATTTGGAAAATCTAAGGAGAATTCCGACGCAGTGCTAATGATCACTGATGTATAAAGACGTTAGTCGGTCTGGATAGGAGGAAATCAGCGCACGCTCTGTCCTTCCGTTAAGGTTCTAAATTGATGAATGAGTCGCGAAAACGGAAAACATTTCATTGTAGCACGCCGGTCCGTGGACTAATAGAACTTGTCCAACTCGATTATTCGGCTTGAAGATGCGTGAGCTTAATGGCCGCCGGCCAAGTTCCGGACACGGTGTTTAAGTGACGGATGTTTCTAGATTATTTGAAAAATTCGCGGGACAATATCCGTGCGAAATAAATCATTCGAGTTAGATTCACGTTGGGTTTTCGTTTAGATTAAATACTTATAATATTGTACAAGACGCGAAAAGATGGGAAAGAGAACGGGGCAATACAGGCAAACACGGGTGAAAAAGAAGACGTAGCTCTAAGGCGGTGGCTTGACAGTTTTGTCCACCCGGGTGCCATTAAGTAAATTGACTTCCAACATACCAACAGACTAAATAACAATCTAATTTCCATAATGCGTAAGCGACACCACCTTTTTTCATTCGGGACGCATTCCTCCCCTTTACAGCTATAATAAGATTGGTTGCATTGCTTCATATTCGAAAGTTTCCATGCATAATGAACATGCGCATAGACAATTTGGAAATTCGTATCGAGTTTCGAGTGTCAAGCTTCATTCATATTGGTATACCGATCGGTATTGAAAATTGTAAACTCGGTAAAATTATTATCACCGCATCGTCTGTGTTCTACGAAAATTACATAGAACATGGTTCGTGGAACGATATACTTGTTTCGTTTGCCTGTCAGTCTAACACGACAGCTGACAACTACAAGCACTCAACGTAACTGTGACTCGCAATCTTAATTACGAAAGTTAATTTCTCTCTGCGGTCATTTACATGTTATATTGAACAAGTTGATACGATTAATGTTTTGGACGAATTAAGACAATCTAGCGATTATTATATATACATATTGAAAAGAATATTTAACGAGACCTCGAGTCGAGAGTGCTTTTAGACTAGCTATCGTAATCGGTTGATAAATACGGGCTAAATAAAATGACGTAACGATTTACCCTTGACATTCGGCAACAGCTGATGCAATTTGATCCAGATTTAGGGCTTAACCCTATCGGGGTCTTCGGTAGAGGGTGGACAGGCTCGCTCCTTAGGACACTGACCAGCTGTGTTGGACAACAAACGGCTATCGCTCGATGGACCGGAGTTAGGTTTAATTCGGTGTATATTACCTTTAACCTCTTTCATTGGCGCATCGGTCACGTACGAAGGACATTGATGCCTGTAATTAAGATGGAAAAGAATTTCAGTCACATATGTAACCTTGTGACTCACACGAGTATATTGATAATGAAACTTTATTTAATGACTAGAGTCTCATTATTTCAATTGGTACATTGGTACAAAGGTATATAAGGATATTTCATTTTTCTAAAATTCTACGTTGAAATCATTCTTTTGGCATTGCGGCCAAATTTAAAGCAAAAGATCGAATAACATTTTTCAATGAATAGCAAATATAACGTGAACAACTTCAAACACAAAATCACATGTAAATTTTAAATAAATATTTCCTAAATAAAAAAAACAATCGAAATTTGTTGCAGCAGCAAAGACAAATTTAAATGTGGGGGAGTATGGCGGTAACACAGTCGGAGGCGGAAACGGATCCCCATATGCAACCACGGCGAACGGTCCTGTAAACTGCCTTACCGGCGGACCTATGGCCGGTATAGCAGGTAGCTTCAACAATACCGGCCGAACCAACTTTACGAACAAGCAACTTACGGAACTCGAAAAAGAATTTCACTTCAACAAGTACCTGACCAGAGCAAGGCGCATTGAAATCGCGTCAGCGTTACAATTAAACGAAACGCAAGTAAAAATTTGGTTCCAAAATAGAAGAATGAAGCAGAAGAAAAGAATGAAGGAAGGCTTAATACCAGCTGATAATACGACTGTAACGCCGCTTAGTGGCGCCAGAAGTTCGAGTAATTCACCGACTAGTTCTTCAAGTCACGAAACTAGTGGTCTTGGATTATCTAATTTTACGAGCGACAATAGTCGGGAGTCTCCACCTTCGTCTTCGAAAGATTGACGCGTTCCTTGCTGCAGCAATGAACGTATCTATGGCCTACGACTTAACAATGATTGGTGAAAATTGAGGAAAAAAGAAACGTTATTTTAAACCTCGTAATTTAAATTTACATGAATTTCCTTGCTGCAGCGGCAACAATAATTAGTATTTCCAATTTCGATAGAACGGAATCATTGTAACGATAAATGATATAGTCGTTCGACGATTTTGAAAATTATCAAAATTAATCGTATAGAAAGTATAGAAATTGTACAATGTATGTACTAATTAAGCAAATTATTTATTTTCGTTTGAATCGTGTATTCCGTAAAGGCTACGAGCAGGATTTCCGAAAGGTTACCATATACCTCAGTTTGTGTAAATGGCATAATAATATTTATATATAATTATAAATACCAATGATTGATCGCAACGTATTATGTAAAAAAAATTGTGAAAATAATATTCTTGGATGCTAATTAATGGCATCTAGAGATCAATCTTCTTTTTGGTGAGGACAATTATTGTTTGATGTTATCATCTCTATTATACATATGTATTGATATTGTCATAATTACATTTTTTACTCGACTCTTCCTATTCCGTTTATTCCCGAAAATTTAAACATTGATAAATTCCTATACCAACGGATATGATATCTACGAATTATTGTAAAATTGTTACATAAATTACATGCTCAAATAAATTATTAGATATTAATAAAAATGATAATAATGATCTTCATAAATGTAATATTATATTTGTAGATTATAATCATTCAATAATTATTCGATAATGATAGCATGATAACAGTAGTTGTGCTCCCAATTTGAATATCTTCTGTATGTATATGTATATAAAATCTAATGCAAATCTTGTGTGAGTAACAATACGTATTGTTATACAGTAAGATATTATCAAAGTATTAATAAAAAGGAAATACAAGAATATCATATTGGCGCTATAATTACTGATTGAAATGTGACACACTAACACACTAAAATATGACTCTAAAATAAACATATTTTGAAATGGCTGCAAGATTTGCATTGATTCTATTTAACTTAACTTGACCACTTAAAAATTAACAAATTAATATAATCGTATAGTTATATAGATTATATTGTGATCTAATAAAAAGTTCTGTACCTAAATGAATTTGAATATAATAAATTGTAATTATTCTGTAGTGTTACTTAGAATTCTATTAGAAAGAATAAAATATTAATACACTACGAAAGGAAACTTATAAAATCCACTGAAATTCCAAAATAAAATGATTTACCTAGTTATGACATCGTATTTTACGATTTATTCAGCGCCAGAAGCCGATCACAACTTTTTAATATACCGCACTAACGACTTTTAACAAATCTTGCGCGCGATCGTGTCTTTCAACGATTTCTAACTGAATTTCAAATTCAGGCTGGCTAACTTTTTATGGTTATTCTATTCGCGACTATTCTATGCCGCATTTAACCGCCACTTTGAAAAGTTTACTAACTCGTCAAGTTGGTAACATTGTAACGCATGTGATAATATAACCTCCAAACATTACGTTACAAACTGCAATATAGAACGAATTTTTTTAAAAGGAGTGAACTTAATATTTTAATATATTTCTTTATCATAAATTTTCTATTTCGTTATTATTTTCGTCAAAAAAAATGACTTAATAATACTAACAAAAATGGCGACTATTGACGATCTTGGCAATGCAAAAATAAGTACGAATGATTTGCTTGCTTTTCAAAGAGAATTGAAACAAGAAAAGGAACTTCTTCAAAAAATATTGGTAAAAATTGACAAGCAATTAAATAGCTTGCAGGTAAATATTTACAATATTTTTTCATTTGTTTCAATATCAAAAAATATTTCATATAACAAAATATTTAGGTGGAACAACTTCATTTATTGGGGTTAATGAATAAATCATTAAAAGGTACAAAAGTAAAGTCTCTGTATGAATCAACAAATGATAATCCACAAGCCTCAACAAATAAATCATTAGATTTGTCTGTACCTTCGACTTCCAAGTATTACGAGGAAGAAATGGAAGATGAAGATGATTAAGATAAATAAATTTTATAATTTAAGAGAATTGTAAACTATACATTTTGTACATATTATATTTATGTACTATACATTTTTATGTACACTATTGAAGTGATTTAGTTGTTTTTATAACTTATTCTGTTTACAAATAAAGTAATTGAATGTGTCAATTTATTTTATAAATATGTTTCTTATTAATAAATTGTTAATATGTTTATGTAAAATGTTTTATCTTATTAACAGTTCAATAAAAGTACAAAAACAGAATTAAATAAAAACCAAACTATTATTATTTCTCAAATGAAGAAGCTGAATTATCTATACAAATTTGACGTACTGGCAATATGATAGCTTCCAACTACTATCGTTTCAAAGAGTATGAAACATTTGTACTTAATTAGTTTAAGTGTAATTTAAAATATATCTAAATATTTATAAATTTTACGATGGATGACCTTGTCTCAAATGGTTTGGATCTTCAGTAAATGATGGAGGTTTGAACTGTTCTGCAGATAGACGAGTAATAAATATTCCTACACCTTCTATTAGAGCCAACAATACTCCTCCAATAATTGCACTACCAGCCATAGCTGGCAAACCATTTCTTGCTGCTAATATTCCACCTGTGGCTGCACCACTAATAATAGAGTTCCATGGATCTTCTTTCTTCCTGAGATGAACTAATGTGCAATCTATTGTGGAAAACATACCACCCCATAATGCAAAATTTCCAGCAATAATGGGAGACTTCTGCTTAATAGCTGTAAGACTTCCTAGAATCCTTTTATTTATCCCACTAGGTGCATTACGAAAGCCTTTGATACTTTGAAATACTGCTCCACCAATCGCACCCATAGTAAACGCACCACCACAGTCATCTATTATACGCCATGGGCATGGTTCTCTTGCGTACTCTTCCATTCCTTAATTGATATTCTGTAAAAAAGTTTATTTAATTCGCTAGTTTTTTATGGTAACAACAATTATCAAATAATAACAACTTTATTATATTATCTTATTACTGTTTTCTACATGTACGATTATTATTACAGAAACAAAAAAGAAAAACTCCAAATATTTAATATTCCAAAATTGTCTATAAATATTTAATTTAATATAAAATATATCAGAGAGACTAACCTTCAGTACTAGCTCTTTTGAATTTTATACTGACAGTAATGTTTCTAGAACATTCTTTTTACACTCAACGTATCTTTATAAATATATTACGTAAAAATAATATATTTGTATATATACCTAAATAGATCAGAGAAAAAAATATAGAAAAATTGTACATGCTCTAAGTGAGGTTATGTGACTAGATCTCGTGTACCCTCAATTAACATGCATATAACAATTTGAATGATTGCAGTAGGTCAATAAAAAATTATAATCCCATTATAAAATAAAAGCTTTTTATGTATTTACCATAAAATTCGTTTCAAATAGTTCCGCTGCCGAGGAACTCGAAAAGATATCTCGAGCACGACACTGTGGTGAATGTAACTACGTTAATGAACCTTCATATGAAAAAAAGGGTTTTTCGATTATGTAAGAGATGAGCAATTAAACACAATAAATAATTTTTCGGAAACAACTCAAATATTTTTTACGATCATTTTGTCAAATTATTTTTTCTTTACGCTTTTCAATATTATGCTTGAATTCATTCGAACAAGCGATGCATTAATTTTGATCCACATTGCATAATATTTTAAAATGAAACTACCGTACCAATGTCTTCTCGTATAATTATATTTTGTTCCACAAATAATCGTATTGTAATCCAGAACATACTTATAATTCGAACAAATAATCAGTGACAAAATTTTGTCATATACTAGATTTAAATGCAATACGATGCTAGACTAGTACAGGTTTAGGATAGTTTAAAATAGAATCAGCAATGTCCAAAAATACATCATACTTTTCATTAGTCCTGGATATCCAGTCGCTTTTCTCTGACAAGAAGTCCCGCATTTAAAGACGCGCTTCATTTTTTAACATATTCTGTCTACCGGTAATTAGTAACATAGATTTTATAATATATTTTACGATCTAAAGCTACGAGCAGCTACTAAAACTAAATTTAAGTAGAAAAGATTATAAGTAATATTTAGAATTTTGATCGTTAGCCAAACAATCGACAGAGTGTAAAACTGACAATAAAAAATTATTTTGTGCCTAAAAATAAAAATTATTATTAATTAATTATTATTAACGATAATGAATACAGTGAAAATTCATCGATAACAAATTTGCTTTTCCTCTGTTTTGTACAATTCATGTGCAGCATATAAAAGTGACGTTTCTTGCAGATAAAAATGTCAGACAACGAGAGCTTTGAATCAGCCACTGAACCAAATTCTAATCTGCCTAAAATAACAAAGTCTGATGAACAAAACAATATGAAACATACACCTGAAACTGAAATCGAAAATCCAATCACTATAACAGAGAGTAAAAATGAACTCCAAGAATTGGAAGACATTGAGTGTAAAGTTTCGCATTGCACGGAAGATGAAGTCGCAGAAATGCCTACGAGAGAAATAGACGCAGCTATCATTGAAAATGCAAGAATTATCTGTGAAGCTGTAAATGAGTCTATAGAAAAGAAAGTGGAGGACAGCACAACAAAGCAAAATGAGCTACCTGTATGTTTAAAGTAATAACGAAGCCTGAAATAATCGAACGTTAATTTTATAAAACTTAAAATTTTTTTGTCAGCCAAATGTTCCGGTAATTCAGCAAGAGATATCCATAGGTGCTGGAGATACTTGCCTCGTGACAAGACAGGACAGAAGTGCTGATGCTCAGAAACCGGAAGAACAAATTGCTATTACTGGCATAATCGATCAGGTTAAACTGGAAAGTGATAAACCAGTGATAGAAAACGATAAAAACGTAACTGAAACTGAACTTATGATATCAAAGTTAAAGGAAGAAGTTCAGGTAAAATTTTATAGAAGAATTGTATACAAAAAAAATTAGCAATAGCTAATTTTATGAAATTATAAACAATGAGTAACTATTATAAAGTCGTTCCTATTTTTAGAAAACGATCAATGAACGAGACTCTTATCAAAAGAAACTGGGAAACGTAGAAAAGAAATTAGCGGAGTTGCAAGCGGCATACGATTCTCTGATGAAGGGTGAAGGTAACGAGGTCATGTTACGTCGAATGGTGGACCAATTAAAGGGGAAACTTATTCAAACTTCGTTGCAATTAGAGGATCGAATTCGTACAGTATCTAATCAGGAGAAACAAATTAGCGCGTTGAACAGTCAGGTGGCTTCGCTAAAGGAAGTAGAATCTCTTACCAGAAGTCTATTGCAAATTCGTAATATGGAAGTAAAACATCTGCAGGTAATCAATAGCGTAATCAGTGTATGTAATATTCTATTAATCAAATAACTATCATATGTAAAATAATTTTGTTCGGTTATACAGAAACCGTAATTTAAAAAAAAGACCGCAAAGAAAATTGAGCGAATATTTGCATTGTTATAGGCAGAAGTCGACGATATGGAAGTTCGAATTTCTGAGGAACGTGAACGATATAACACAATGATTAACAAAATGGATGCTGCGGTGAAATTAAATGCAGACTTGAAGAAAGAATACGAAACGCAGCTTTGTCTTTTCCGTGATCTACGAGAAAAGTATGAAGAGAAAGTTTCGTTGTTGTCAGAAGAAAAACGTGCACTTGAGGCTAACACACCATCTCCTAAATAAGAATGTGTTTTGCACTCGTTGAATTGTTTTGTAATTTGTATAAAATATAAACTCTGTTTAGAAACAATTTATGTTTGCGTACTTTTTAAACTACTCCTTTATTAAGAATAAATGGAGCTCTAGATATCAATATATTTAATAACTTCTTATTATTAGTAGAGATCATAACTAATATAAAAATAGTTCGAATTTTTAAAACATTATACACCAACTATGAAACTATAAAAACATAATTATTATTGGTTTCCGTGGTGTAGTGGTTATCACATCCGCCTAACACGCGGAAGGTCCCCGGTTCGATCCCGGGCGGAAACATGTTTGTTTTTGCTTAAAAATATGATAAAATTAGATAACTCATTTGACAAATCATTAGTTTTGTCACGTTTACTTCAGTAGTAAAAAACATTAGCATCGTAATTTACATTTGAAAAAATAGAAGTTCCAAGAATCCAAGGAGGAAAAGTTTTTTGCTTACTTAGTATTACAATTTTATGTGATTCCCGGGTAGAATGGTCAGTGTATATTCTCATTCACACATACAGAAGACACATATCTAATGCTGTTTAAATAAACAATTAATTATAAATTATAAAACGATATGATTGAAACAATTTCATATATTAAACTTTCTCATCAAATGATTTAATTAAACTTGAATTATATAAAGTAAAACTTTGTTTTTCGGAACCAACAATAAATAAGTCAAAAGAGAATGAAAAGACAGAAAAAAGGTATATAAATTTGCTCTGACAGTAACGCAACGTAAAAAGAGATTCTTGTTATCATGTATGTATTATGAGTAGACGGTGATTCCCAAGTGAGTGCCTTGAACTTTTATGTATAAAGATTAACATCCGTAACGCTGTGTATAAATACAGTGCAACTCGGTTCGTTCGACATCAGTATCTCCTTGTTCATTGACCATTGGTTAATAATCGAAGACAAGATCTAAAGAAGTGCAACCATGAAGACGTTTATCTTCGCCATTCTGGTTGTTACCTTCGCGGTAGCAACATGTCTTGATACAATGGTAACTCCATCCGAATCTCTGGTAAGATTAGAAAAATATACGTATATATCTACTATAAATTATAAAATATCATATGATAAACAATAACTAACAATAACTAAATTAAGTTTACAACGAATAATAAATCGTTCCTTTTATCTTAGCGCCTTCGTCGTGAAGCCGATCCAGAACCGGAACCCCGTAACCGACCAAATATCCCAAAATATATTCCACCACCAAGACCACCTCATCCTGTAAGTAATTAAATGTTAATAATTGTTGATATAACAATATTCTATACTAAATTTTGCATCAATTTTTATTTAGCGCCTTCGTCGAGAAGCTGACCCAGAACCAGAACCCGGTAATCGAGCAATATATGTTCCACCACCAAGGCCACCACATCCTGTAAGTAATTAAATGTTAATAATTGTTGATATAACAATATTCTATACTAAATTTTGCATCAATTTTTATTTAGCGCCTTCGTCGAGAAGCTGACCCAGAACCAGAACCCGGTAATCGACCAATATATGTTCCACCACCAAGGCCACCACATCCTGTAAATAACTAAATATTAATAAATATCAATGCATACAATATCGATAATATAACAACATTCTATGCTAAAGCTTGCATTAAATTTTATCTAGCGTCTTCGTCGTGAAGCCGATCCAGAACCGGAACCTGGTAACCGACCTAATATCCCGACATATATTCCACGACCAAGACCACCTCATCCTGTAAGTAATTAAATGCTAATAATTGTTGATATAATAATATTCTATAATAAATTTTGCATCAATTTTTATTCAGCGCCTTCGTCGAGAAGCTGACCCAGAACCAGAACCCGGTAGTCGACCAATATATGTTCCACCACCAAGGCCACCACATCCTGTAAATAACTAAATACTAATAAATATCAATGCATACAATATCGGTAATATAACAACATTCTATACTAAAGCTTGCATTAAATTTTATCTAGCGTCTTCGTCGTGAAGCCGATCCAGAACCGGAACCTGGTAACCGACCTAATATCCCGACATATATTCCACGACCAAGACCACCTCATCCTGTAAGTAATTAAATGCTAATAATTGTTGATATAATAATATTCTATAATAAATTTTGCATCAATTTTTATTCAGCGCCTTCGTCGAGAAGCTGACCCAGAACCAGAACCCGGTAGTCGACCAATATATGTTCCACCACCAAGGCCACCACATCCTGTAAATAACTAAATACTAATAAATATCAATGCATACAATATCGGTAATATAACAACATTCTATACTAAAGCTTGCATTAAATTTTATCTAGCGTCTTCGTCGTGAAGCCGATCCAGAACCGGAACCCGGTAACCGACCTAATATCCCAACATATATTCCACGACCAAGACCACCTCATCCTGTAAGTAATTAAATGTTAATAATTGTTGATATAACAATATTCTATACTAAATTTTGCATCAATTTTTATTTAGCGCCTTCGTCGAGAAGCTGACCCAGAACCAGAACCCGGTAATCGACCAATATATGTTCCACCACCAAGGCCACCACATCCTGTAAGTAATTAAATGTTAATAATTGTTGATATAACAATATTCTATACTAAATTTTGCATTAATTTTTATCTAGCGTCTTCGTCGTGAAGCCGATCCAGAACCGATTTGATTAGACAATCAAAAACCAAAGGATGTATTCAACCAAGACCACCACGCCCGGTAAATATTAATTAATTAATATACTAATGTAAATGTTAATTTAATATTAATTAATATACCAACTGTATTATAGCTGTTAATACTGGAAATTAATATTTTTTTTATTTTTTAGCGATACTAATTTTTGCCCATGAAGGAATACGTACTGGATTGTTCATTATTTTCTTAACATACCAACAATTGATTGAAATTTTATTTACATCTTCTAAAGTATTAATTTAATATAAATGTATTTAATTTAAATAATACAAAATAAAATTTGTTTTATCAAAATACAAGAACGTTTTTATTTATTAATCTTTATTTATATACAAATATTATTCATATATACAAAGTATAACTATACTCGTTTTATAATATACACATTATAATTATGTATTTATACGAAATATATACAATCTTATTCTAACGAAACAACAACAGGTGCTTCATCTTCAGTCTCTTCCTGTAAATTAGAAAAATCCCACAAAAATTTTGTAGACAATCGTCCGCTAAATCTTGCTGTATAAGATTTTAAGCGTCCATCTAATTCAGAATTAATTTCAATATTTGCGAACAATTTGCGCAGATTATGATAAACAAAATTATTATTGGCTACAATATCACAAAGTATATCTTCGGGTACGTGCATCAATTGAATTTCTAATGCTTTCATAAATTCAATGAAAATCGCGCGGCGTTGTGATATTGCACAATCAGCGCCACAGATGAGAGACACAAGTTTCTTCCAATGTTCAAAAGCATCAAGACTTTGTCCAACAAGAAAACAGACAAATGCTAACTGGAGTTCTCCAATTATCTCCATAGGACTGAAAAGATATCATTAACAGTTAATTATAAAAATCTGAAGCAAAATAATTACTTACAGTGTCAATTGCTTAAGGACAGTATCCAGTGCATAACTTGTATCCAAAAAGTGCTTTGTAATCTCAGTTGGTGATGCTCCGTCTGGATATTGTTTATCAGGTATTTTCGAAAGTCGAAGTTCTGTACCAGGTTTAGGTTTCATATCAGGAAGAAGCTCATCTTCTTTTTCTTCCACAGTAATTCCACTCCTTCTTTTTTTAGGATTCGATTCTCCACCTCTTGGTCTTGCAGCATCAGTGCAATATTCTAATTCTAATGCTGATCTTACAAAACTGAGAAATGACAAATTTATTAACAAAAAAATTAACATAGCAGTCGTAATTATTAATTTATAAAATTTGTTAACATACCCACATATAGGTGAACAACGTTCAACAAGTGGAGGAGTAATATGATTTGTTAACTCCTTCCACTGTTTCCATATATCATAAGGGTAACATCCTAAAAATCTATCTAAATCCTTCAAATTACTCTTCAATCTTTCGACCATTTCTTCTTCTACAACTTTGTATAGAAAATTAAATAATGACTAATAATGAAGATTTTTTAATGTTATTTATGCTACATACTGTCTGAACTCAGATCTTCTTCCTTTGCATCCCAACGTTTCACTAGAAATTCAGATTTTTTAAATGTGTGAAGAAAGCCAATTTTGGGTGTTGCTTCTCCAAATTCATCTACAGCACTTTAAGAATATATATATATGTAATTATTATATATGAGAATGAAAAAAAACTGTAAAAAATTACCTGTAATGAACATAGTGAAATCCTGGCGGAATCATTTTAACACCTTTAAATCTATCCGCTGTGTTCCATGATTTTAAATCAATTCCAAATTCTGTGCCAACAGGTACATCTAACATAACTAATGTAGCACCTTCAAAGAGAAGCCTCTGGGCTAAACTCTGATCCATTTCTATTCCTTTGCTTCCCATGATTATTTAATAAAACTATAAAATGTGATAAATGTATTTTCTCACATATAGATGGTTCTGAAATTCATATTTTTTTACAATACATATTTTTTATAAATTTCTTACATTTGTATATTACTATACTATCAAGCATTAACCAAAAAATTTTGAAAATATGTTTATATTTACTTACTGGAATAACATGAAAGACAAGTTTCTTTTCTTTATTTTCACACACCATCAAATTAAATTTGCAAATTTACTTTCAAATTATTACAACCAATTTACAATTTCAATAAAAATATTTTCGTAAGCATTCAGTATACACTATTACTCTATTATACATGAGCTTTACTACCTTGCTAACTGGTCATCGCTGTCCCCACCATCTTTATCAAAATGTTTAATGCTTTCAACGAACTACATACATACATCAAACCTATACGGCAGTTGCTACACAAATGAAGTAAATCTGTATAGTGCATAGTTGCATAGCGCGTTGACGAATAGAAATAGAGGGGAGAATAGCATGGTAATAGCAAATGAATAAAATTACAATGCTTAAACTACAATAGATTTGTATGCAACAACTTTCGAATTTATTTAAAAAAATCATCATTTTCTATCTTGGAAAAAAAATAGATTAAAATATATCCAAGACGTAATATTGTAATATTTAATATCTACTATTGTAAGGACACTGAGAGCGTAGAAAATCAGATAAAAATAACGAATTCTCTTTAAACGAATTCTTATTTAAAATCAATTCTCGAACAGAATGTTTCGTACTGGTACAATTTCATATTAAATCTGTAATTGTAAACATCCAAATGAACGCCGTATAAACGTGTTTCTTGGTCAGCGGTCAGAATTATAAACAATTTTAAAACGAATAGTACTAATTGTCACTTTAATTAACATGGATAATGATTTCCTAAATTGGATAGAGAAACAAAACACTCGAGTGAGTATTTCTTTTTCTTAGAACCTTTTACTTTAAATCAAATTTAGTAGTGTCGACTATTTAGGTTAGTTTAAGGTTATGTTACGTGTATATTTGATATTAATAATTAATAAAAATTCAATCTAAATTCTACAAGTTCAACACGACATTCGTGAATACAACATACATCAAATTATATTGAAGATTATTAACTAAATATTTTATGAAAATAATAAAATTTTCAGTTATTATTCCATTTCCAAATTTTGAAAAATAATAATTATGTATCGTTATCTATTTTATTTCAGGAGGATGTTTCCCATGTAGATCAGCCAACATCGTATGGATTGTTGAAAAAGAAAGTTGCAGCGACTCAGTAAGTTAATTGACGTATTAATTGTTTTTATGAATATTGATCACCATCAATCGTAATATTAACAAAATATTTATTTTCAGCGAATTAATTAAAAAGTATAATGATAAACTGAAAGAATGTGAACGGTTAAAACAAGAGTTAGATACATTAAATAAACGAATGAAAGAAGTAACATGTAATTATAATTCTAGTTTAGCAAAAGTTATTAAATTAGAACTTGTAAGTAAAAGTAATACCTACTTAAAATATTTATCCTGAAAAATATTTTTTCTATCTTTCAATTTTAGATTATTGATATTTAATTTTCAGCAAAATACAGAATATAAAAAAAAGATTGATACTCTAGCTGCACAAGTAAACGAAGTTACTATCAAAACAGCAGCTGATCAGCAACATATACAACAATTAATATGTAAAATAAAGGATATAGAAGGAAATCAAAATGACAAAATAATCCAATATGATGTAGAAAAATCTTCACTGCAAGGTATACAATACATTTAATACTGTACTGTGTGCAGCATAGTAATTTTATTATATTTTGTAGTTAGAATCAAGGAATTGGAGCAAGAGTTAAAAAATGTAAAAAGATCTTATGAAACAAAAATTAAAAAAATAGAAAAGAAAGTCTCTATAGAAACTGAAAACAGTGAGTTGATTTAATTAATAGATTATAATTAGTACATTTTAGAATTTAATACAAATAATTTAATTTATAGAAGAAAAATTAAAGGATGCTGGAACCAATACCACATTAAGTAAAGATATGGTAATACAGAAACCGGAGGTTGCAGATAAATCCATGTTAACTCTTGAATTTTACGATATTAAAGATAACCCATATCCTATATTTTGTAATGAGTGCAAAATTCTATTAGATCCACCTCCTTTTAAGGAAATATGTAAAGTTGTGAGCGATTCATGTCCAAAACTTATTGAAAAGATTTCGTCCCCACCCAGAAAACTTTCATCTGCGTTAGAAGAATCAACAGGTATGACATTGAATTATATACAATTTACAATGTCTTTTTATATGAGATATATTTTAACAATTTTATATGCTTTTAGATATAAACAATGAACAACAATGTAAAGCTAAAAGTTTATCTACATTGATAGATAAGTCATCACAGGAATCAAATCAGAATAGTCGTTTAATATTTACTTCAACAAATTCATTATCTCCGCATACAGTTCCATTAAATCATATAAATTGTAACACTTTTTCCTCGACGTCGAATTCAATAAATCAGGGTAACAATCATATCTTTTCAACGCCAATTAATCCTTCGTCAATGATAAATTCGAATACACCCAATGATAATAAGAATTGTGAGAGTTTAATGACTATAGCCACATCTTCGATATCGCTTATTTCGTCATTACAGAAAAAAATTTATGCGTTAGAAACGAAAGTGAAAAAAATGAAAAAGAAATTAAATAAAAAGAACTCAAATCGAAACAACACTTGTAAGGAACATCATCAAAATGTCAGTATGTATGACATAAATAATTTCATGCAAACTAATTTTGATGAATTATGGAGGAAAATGAAAGGTACTTATGATAGAAAAGAAAGGAAGAATTTAGATGCACATAAAAGATTAAAGACATTATCTGATTTGACATTACAAAATGCGCACACTGGTTCTTGGAAAGTTGATTCAATTGTAGAAAATAAACAGACTTCTGTTAAGAAAAAAGTAAAGGTTAAACGTAAGAAATTACAAAATGCGCACACTAATTCTTGGAAAGTTGATTCAATTGTAGAAAATAAACAGACTTCTGTTAAGAAAAAGCCTAAGAAGCATAAGTTTGTACATTCGTTATTCGGTCAATCTGATAATTCGTTAAATGATACTGAAGATTCAGAAAAATTAAACAGTGATTTTAAAGCAGATTCATCCATTGATAAGTTTAATGATTCTGAAGACTGTGCAGAATCAGCAGATTCACCCATTGATAAGTTTAATGATTCTGAAGACTGTGCAGAATTAGCTGATTCACCCATTGATAAGTTTAATGATTCTGAAGACTGTGCAGAATCAGCAGATTCATCCATTGATAAATTTAATGATGTTGAAGACAATGTAGAATCTCAAACCATATCACCTGCAAGTCCATTTTTGAATTCTAATGATACGGATGTAAATAAAACTAAAGTAGAAATAGTACAAAATTTTGTTCAACGTAGTAAGTCAATAGAAGGTGATTCGGGAATATTGTCTGAACATGAAAGTAATAAACTGATGCAACTTAAAGAAACTACGGACACTTCTTCAGAATTAACAGAGCAGAAAAATACCATAGAAAGAAATTCTTCCATAGAAAATGAACCATGTTTTAGTGGACATAGTAAACTAGTAAATAAGTCCATGACAAAACTAGCGCACGCATCACATTTGATAAAATTAAATAAACCAATTGAAGAAAAAGTTATCTCAGATACATTATCAAACTTAGATGAAAAAACTGAAAAAGCAGAGCATGCAGATATGTCAAAAACATTACCACCTAGTAATCTAGAAGCTGAAATTGAAACAAATAATTCTGATATCCTAAATTCTAAGAAGAAACGGAAACTATCCGAGAGCGAATTAAAAATATCCGGGAACCGACAGAAGTTGTTGAAAAAAATAAGAAATTTAAAAAGGAGCAGTAAGATTGTAAAAACATGTCAAAACATGCTAAAACAAGATATATCTAATGACGAAAATGAAGATTCTAATATGTCTGAAGACCAAAAAGATAATAATCCTGAAGTAGTTAAAGAAGATTATTATATATCTAAAAAGAAACCTCGTATTGCGCACATACCTAAAAATCCAATTATAAAAGAAATGAAATTAAATAATTTTGAAATACAATCAGTAAATGATCTAGAAAATAGTATGAACGAAGTTGATTTGAATAAATCAAAAGATCAAATTTGTAGCAATAATGAAGAAAAACCTCAATCGATGTTTTCGCACTTTAACAACACTGAGATAGAAAAACCTCCATTGATATTTTCACACTCTAACACTGAAAATGTAGAAAATCCTGTTCATGAGATACCAGTTTCCAATAATTTATTAAATAATTCGGAAAACAAAACGCATAGACAAAATATAAACACAAAATTTGAAACAAATACAAATGAATATAATCAATTTGATTCTATATCCAATATTAATTCTGTAAATGAAACAACCGAACAGGATGAGACAAAGACTGATTTAAATAAGTATAGTGAGCATTTCAAGCACATAGATGAAAGTAATTTTTTAGATGTAAAAGAAATTCGCAAAACGGATAATATAAGCGAACAAAAATTATTAAATTTCAATGACAAGTCTTCCATTGATACTTCAAAAATAAATAATATAAATGAAAGGGATTTAAATACAGAAGAAATAACACACAATAATGTCTGTACGAAGCAGGAAATTTCTACTATACAATTAGAATCACACTGTCCATTAAAAATGTTGCAGGAATATATTAATAAGAAACCAAGCATAAGAAATAAAAAAATGTATAGGAAAAAACTTTTGCATGCTAGTCAAATAGGGGGTAAGATTATATCTATTAGTTGAGTTTTAAAATAATATTAAATCGTCTAAAATAATTTTATTTACTTCAGATAAATTTGTGAACAAACAATTGGAGAGGCTGATAAATAGCGATTGGGAAAGTTCCATACACTGGGATGTAATTGACAAATTAAAATCTAATTGTAATGATCGTATCATAGCAAAGTTAGTATTTATTTTATAGTATTTAATATTAATTTTTAACATAATTAATTGTTAATATATAACGAATGATTCCAGAGGAATTATAGAATTCTTAAGCACAGAGCAGGAATATAATAAAACTTTAGATAAAAGTTACACACCACCTGCACCATTAATGACGAAAGCGCAACAAAGAATAGCACCATTGTTAATTGACTTAGAAAAATCAAAACCCCTGGTATTTCAATTTGTGCAGGCTGGTATAGCATACAAACTTTTTAAACTCAATCAAACGATAGAGGTTTGACGTTTTCTCATTATTTTGGTATGCGATGCAAAGTGAATTAGCGTAATTAATAGTAAATTGATTTTAGAGATGTGTGGTACAATCTCTTGCTAGAATGTATACGATTTTAGCAAGAATTAAGAAAGACCGAGAAAAAGTAAGGATATTCTGTTGCGACGCTTTGTATTGTTTGGGACTTCACGCGATACTTATTTTATACACAGTATTCACTTCCTGGCCAGAAGTTTTCCCGAATAACGAAACAAGTGTTAATAATAGTACGTATAATCTGTTAATTTCAAAATTAAATTTGTATTTCAATCTTGTAATCGTCTATTACGTATAGAATTATTGCCGAAATGTATGGCACATTTAATCATGACGCAACAAGGTACGGACTATCCCAAACTTCAGGCCTTGAAGAATTTAATAACGTTATTCTACAAATATCCACTAGGGACATTATCTAAAAATATCCTCCAAGAGCTGTTGATTGCACTTCAAGGTAAGTAATAACTATAATAGTTTAGTATATTGTTTAAATACAATTTGATCAATTTGTAGAAAGGTGTGACAGTGAAGTAGAAACTGCTATTATACTTCTTGCCAAAAGAGAAGGAACTGCATGGACGTATACGAATATTATTAGAGGTGCATTGTTATCAATGATAATTAACAATAAACTACCGAGCACGTACCGAGCGTTTTCTTTATTAGGTAAATTTTTTATACTTAATTAATTTTATTTCAATTGATAAATTATAATTTCTATTGCTTGAAATTATAGGCAATCTGTTACGTGTATTCCCAATAGAAGATAAGGATAATTCAGTTGGTGAAATTGCAGAACAACTATGCGATTTAATCAATTCTGATGAAGGTATACCTATATCATTATGTTTTCAATTATTATTCAATGTGTAGTATTCAGTTATTAATAAACAATTGATATTTTTAATTAGGATCGAATGAGCAAAAAGAAGGCGTTATCTCGGCATTATTAAGTTTATCAAGGCACAAATTCGACCAGGTGGTTCAAAATACGTTAAAGTGGACTCCATCTGTATTATTGCGTGATCGAACCATAAAACAAATCAATGGATTATTTGATACGCGTGATTCTGACTTTTGGAATTCTTATCTGAAAAAACATAGAGAATTGTTCCTTGCTCAGGAAAACAGTAATACATAATGTACAATTTTTTCGACAGAGTACAGAATATTGTGTGATATTTACTATAAGATAATTTATATTACTTAAAAATTCTTCCGTAAACGTTGTGTTAATTAAAGCTTATATTATTCGATCAATCACGGCGATAACATATTTTTTGATGACGTTTTTTTCACGTGATCCTGAAAAGATAGAAGTAACATTTCCTTCATTTTGTTGTTCGTATAGTTTAAATTGTAACAAATTGTAACAAACTGTAACTTTTAATCGACTCCTGTTTTATTACGATCTATAACACGCTGTATGATAGCTGATCTTTCTTTTAAGATTAAAGTATTATTATATTATGTACATTACATATACATAGAAGACTAAAGAGAAACTTAAACTGATAATGTAATTTTGATATACCAAAGAAGCCGTTTACATGGAAACAAACATGTTTCCGTAATATCGTGAACGAAGTTTCGTTCGCGCTTAAATGTTTTTACTTTAAATTTCCGTAAGAAAAGAATTAGAAAATAGAAAAAAGAAAACTTTTGTTATATCGTAAAATAAAATATTGATTTTCTCTACTTTGTCTTTCGAACGGCAGTTCCCTGAAAACGTTTCCAGACAAAGGATTTAAGCATGTCGAATAAATTTCAATTATAGTCCTTTTATTGTATCATATTTTTCAAACACAGAAGATACTAGCAACAGATGTAGTGAAACGAAATATCGACTGGATCAACTGATTGCTTATAACATATGTACCAGCGTTCATTATTGAAATAAGAAACATTAAGTGATAATTAGGAAAGTATGTATTTACATAATTCGTGGTCGGCATAGCGTTGATGTTTGCTTGATGAAATTCCATCCATCTTGCCAATTTGAATTTTAACGATTTTAACTCACTATTTCTCACTATTTTTTACTTACAAAATACACTCGAATGACCATATCAAATTTTGTATCGGAATCAACAATGCAAAATGCAATCAAAATGAGACCGATGCCCGACAGTCGAACTCTTTCACGGAAAATTTTTAAATTCGCGAACTACACTGTCACTCAAGATTTAATGATTCTTTGAACAATTTATCATTGACTTAACATACACAAACGCTATTTTAGATGCGAAATATTTTAAATATAACACTTTTCGGTGCATAAACTACATGTTTCGCGCTGGTTAAATCTACGGTACCGGAAGTACTGAGTGATCAAGTTTGAAAAATAGTGTTTAAATATTGTGCTCTGTTCAACGTAAGCGTATGTATCATGTTTCTCTTTCTCTCTATATATATACACACATATATGTATGTGTATATCATTTTTCAATTCTTTTACTTTCTTCTTTTTTTTTTTAAATACTACGATAAATGTTTTAGAACTCCTTAGAAATATAGTCAGTTATTTTCCTGGCGTATTGTCTAATCGTAAGGGAAAGGACGCGAAGGACAGTGGCGCAATCTATGGAGCGAAGAATGGCGGGAAAGTGTTTGAAAGGGCGATAGCAGCAACTTGTACGATCTCGCTTATTCATACTATTTAACCATTTCGGGAAACAAGATTACAAGTTTTTATTCCTTTCAATATAATAATAATCACAATAATAATAGATAATAATAAAAATAGATAATAATAGTAATAATAATAATAATAATAATAATAATAATAATAGAAATAATAATAGAAATAATAATAGCAATAATAATAATAATAATAATAATAATAATAATAATAATAATAATAATAATAATAATAGTAATAATAATCAACATATCGTAAGCTTCCATACGCAGAGCACGCTAAGTTAATACATGTACATGGTTTCTTTACAAAAATAATAACAATGTTTCGATGGAACATTGCGGATCCAGTGATCAATCTCATCTAGCTAAATGACACTTTAGCAGCATTTTTTTTTTCCTTTGGATAGATAATTCTCGTATATAATCCCCGTTTATATTTGTTCATCGTTCTCATCGTTCGACTCTTATCGAAGGAGAGCGTGCCACGCGTTATCCGTGTGCACGCCGCTCCTTTCTCTATCTTTCTCTTTCTCTCGCCTTGTCCACCTCCCTATCATTCTTTCTCGTTCATTTCGTATAAATAAACTACCTTTATTTTGTCAGTTAATCGACACTGTCTTTGGTACATTTACAACGAACAGCATATATCGCGACAGAAAGTACGGATTTGGTATGTCGGACGGGGTACCTACCATCCGCCGTCATAAAGCGCACGCAGTTCACGAAAAAAAGAAACGAATTTCACTTTGGAAACCTTCCGCGTGTCCTTCGAGCGCGAAGATTTCCGTCCGCAAATTAAAAAAAAAAAAAAATCAATATAAATAAAGAAAAAACAGAAAATTAAGAAGAAACGGGAAACGGAAAAGCAAGAAGCAAACAAGAGAAAACAAAGGAAAGAAGAGAATACACAATCCGGGGTCGGCGAGCGGTCGTCACCGGGGCGTCGATCGGAACGATCTCGTTCCACCGTGAATTTAGCGATTCCAGTGTGCTCGAGTCGGTTCCGATCGACCGATCAGTAGAAACAGACCACTCCCGTGAGATCTCTCTTCTAGGATAAGATCTCCTTGACCGAGCCGGCCCGAAAAAAAAATTCATCGAAATTTCTTCGCGTCTTTTAGCTGTTTTTCTCTCTCTCTCTCTTTTTCCTCCATCGAATATAAACGTATCCTTCTCGAGTCTGCTTTTTTCTTGTTCTTTCCCTCCCTTCGTTCTCTTCTTCGTCTTGATCTTGATCTTCGCGATACACGGCGCTGTCTGATGTACTAAAATGCCACCACTGTCTACGCTTAAACGATCGCTAAGTCACGAGCCCGAGTCATTGCTGTCGACGCTGGATTCTCTCTCTTTCTCTTGTGATTTATTTCTTTTTTTCAACGATCTCTTGACAAAAATTAAAAGTAGGTTCTCCCTTGACGATTGATCAGATAGAAATTAAAAAATATATATATATATAAGAACGACACGTCTCGAGCAATTGTTCGGTCGCGACGATATTTTAACCTTTAGAAGCTGATAATCGAAGTTTACCTATGAATTTTTTTTCCCCTTACGATCGCCCTCCCTTATGAAACGCCTCGAAGGTCCTCTTTGTTCAACAATCGGTTAAATTAATATAACTGCTCGATCATTCGGAATCATCAGGTTCGAGTAATTACTCTCACAGTAGAAATTGACACGTTTCGAAACACAAAACGATTATTTGCAAAAATTAAGAGGAAACCGATTGCGATCGACATGAATGATTATTCGAACTATTGGAAATTTAGAACTGACGGAGAAGACATTTAAACATTGATGCAACGACTGATGGTTGAATTGTACAAATTACTATGTCGTATTTATAGAAGAAAATGTGTGTTGCGCGGACGAAATATAGAAAAATAGCTTTTACGATTGAAGAACAACGTAGGTACCACGAATGGCTTAATATGATGTACTGGAGCGTAAGCTTTTCATCGCGTGGTTTTCACAGACACACTCGCGTCGGAAATTGTGTGTTATTTCTCCTCGCTTTTTCTCCCTTTTTTTAAAATATAACTCCATTTTTTCTCTTTCGCTCGTTCGTTCATTCGTTCGTTCGTTTATAAATAATAAGTGCGTGTCCTTAAGAGATATCGTGTTAACCAAATAATACGCGAATAGCATTAGGAATTAAATTGATTAATCGTTATTCGACAATAATAATAATAAAAGGAGAATAATTAAATGATCGCAACTTAATGATCGTAAATTAGTAAGTTAATAATAATAACCGTGGTAATTAATAATTAAAGGAAAAAAAATAATGTAAGAATAAATTAGGAACCAAGTACAAAGTTACGAGAGAAGTAAGAGCGGGGAGTAATTAAATTATAGTTTTTTTTTTTCACATTTTCACGCTACGATTTCTTCACGTTAATTAGGACTATTTATAATAAATTACACCGTACGGTTACGAAACGAAGTCGTTCCCGTGACAGAAAATAAAAGAAAAAAAAAAAATATATATATATATATATATATATATATATATATTAGGCCACCTAACTCCGCGCGTTTCTCGTCTCGGAATCTGTCTCTCTTTGTTTTCTAATTCTACGTAATGTATATTCTTCGGTTCTCTCCTTCGCTTCTTTTTAACCCATTTTTACGATGTTTTGCAAGTCTGAAACTCCGTAACGAAGGAGAAAACACGAGGCTCACGGCCGAGCAAAGAAACGAAAGCGTTATTGGGTCATGATCGCGCGACACACGTTACTCGTACACATTACACAAAAGTACACTAGACGATTCATCTTCTGTTTCCTCAAAGCGTTTGGAAGCTTCTTCATTCCACAGCACAGTATCTACAAATGTACAAATCATCATCGAATACAGGATCGATCCTTCCACAGTGTTTAGATATGACTGACGAAACAAAGAATATATCGTGCTTCTTCGAGAAATATTTCAAGATAACGTCGCGGTGATGTTCGACGACGATTGTGTGATTTCCTCTTGTTTCCCTTCGTGACGCGAAAAAAGAACGGGGTTTTATTTCCGGAGGAGCACGCCGCGCGAGCAAATAACTCTGTCATCCAGCCGACTCGTTGACCGATAAATTTATTTGTCAATTTAATGGTCAAATAGGTATAGAAGAATGGGTAGAAATCGCTGTTGACAAGCGTTGTCATAGTTGTAGTTTGTCCGCTACAACGGGCCAATCGCTCGTCGGATAAATTTAAAGGGGAACGAGTTAGCTGGTCCTACATGGATAATTTACTATTTACAAGAAAATAGGCGAGAAACAGAGATCCGCTCCGCGACGTGGTCAATTTCGATGTTGATCAATCGACGAATACGATCGCCGTCGATGCCACCGCGACTCTTCGTGCATTCCTCTTCAAGAATTCGGTCGATTTTTTTCCTCATCGACCATCCAACAGAGGCTTAGTTTCTTTTCGCTAGGTTTCAACACCAGGTAGAGGTCTCATCCTTGAATATCTTTCCTTCTCTCTTCTTTCTACTCTTAAAGTGTTCACACTCGCCAAGGCCTAACCACACGCGAATTTAAATATAATATTACAAATTTAAATTAAGTTACATATACGTCATTGTGCGGACGAAAAAAAATACATACTTAACGAAGACTTCGAATAAATAATTACGTCTGTATTGAACGAACATTTTACAGTGAGACACACTTATATGACCAAAGTTCTGTCCTGACACGCGAATCAACGCTTAAATTATCATTTAACGACACGTAATTTTTTATAACTGATTGTGTTGCCGATCGTACACTGGATGAAACAACTTCGAACGACAGAAACTGTTGGAATTCCTTCCAATTTCTTCTTCTCTAGCTCAGCCAGTACAAAAGAGGAAAGATTGTCTGACGTTTAGAACTTGGAATACCTTGCATCCCTTTAACGCTTTCGATAACGTGAATCGTCCTATTTCCGACGTTTCCGTGGCGTTGATTTGCAAGAAACTTATGCCGAACATGAAAGTCGCATCGATGAATCGATCTCGACCTGGGGACACGGGTGAGAAAAAAAAAAGAAGCGAACGAAATCGGACGAACAGAAAAGAAGGTAGGTGGAAAAAAAGGAGAAAAAAAGCAATGGTTTCCGGGGTGAAGAGGAAGGGGGAAGCTTATTTCCGCAAAACGTTTCCACAGCAAAATACGTTCTACGACGAGCAACGTTTCTACTTAGCAATGGATTATTCGTCGAAAACTTAACTGGTACGTTTATCTTAACCGATGCTAATAACGTTATGTAATTATTCTCCGGTTATTATTGTCTGCTCTAAACTATCTCGTTTCTCCGATAGGAACAAATTACTTATGCTTCTTCTCCGTTGTGTTTGCGCTAAATGCTTCTTTTCTTTTTTCCTCTCTATCTTTCTCTCTCTCTCTCTCTATCCCTCTCTTTCTCTCTCCTGCTTTTTTCTTTTTATTAAGAGAGTCACCTATTCAGCCAGTGGCTTTATTTTTAAGCTTCCCTTCTTTTCTACTTTCTTGTCCTTTGTTCTTCCAGCTGTTCGAGTCCAGCTATTTAAAGTTACCAGCTACGTACTTCTTTTTTTAATCCTACGCTCTTCTAGATCACGTGCGCGGAGAGGCGAGGATCCTGATTCATGTATCGATTTCTTTCCAACCAGGATCGTCCGTTCGATGGTCCATTAACTTCTCGTCTCTTCAACGAGTTCTTCCAATTGCAAAGGAACGCACGGCACTTGGAACTTGGTTGAATCGATCTTCTCTCTTCCTTTTTGAACGATTTCTGATGACGCAAGAAATTTGTCGAGCGGATAATTCAGGCAGAAATGAACGTTAAATAACGATCAACCTAGGCAACCTCATCGATGACGCGCACGATCGTCGAGAAATGCGTTCACAACGGATATTTTTCTTTTCTTTTTTTTTTCCTTTCTTCTCTTGCTTCCTCTTTGATACGCCACCGCGAGAACATAGTCCATGGACGGAGACAGAAAGCTGCTAGGTGAAAGTGATTCCCTTCCGTCGACGTGATGCCGGTGATCTCTACGTTGGACTCCTCTACGTTCGTGTCGTGGAATTAGATACCGGACTGGCTCTATCATTGATTGGAACGTTTGCCTTCGCTGATGGACGCCATTCTCATTGACTCCGTTTCCGGGCAGTTCCATCCGGGCATTCTCGTCTGCTCTATGGCCGCCTGAGCAAACAAGAGGTTTCTTAGTGAACGCATTTTTACTTTCTCCAAGCAACGTTACACCACCGCGTACAACGAATGGATAATTTCATTTATACGATAGGAAACGTCATCAAATTTTTGGTACTTTAAAACACGGCAATTGTCAATGAATCGTGTTCAAAGTACAGCTCTCACATATTCGTAAGTAAGTAATTCTGCGGACCATAAGGAAAGACCAGAGGAAAATTTCACTCGTTGCCAATACAATACGTAGACCGTAATTGGTTAGAAGAGCCGAAATCGACGTACGAGTAGTATCGACACAGGTGCACACGCGTGTTACACTTACCGAGCTATTAGGATTCTTGGTCATAAAGATCATGAGGGAGCGGCTGCGGTTGCTAAACGGCCTCAACTCCGGATCTCGACCAGGTCCATCCACCGTGTCGACGCAGTTACTGTTGGCACAGAAATAACGTCGAATGTGAAATTCGTGAATTTGCCTTTCAAAATTCCAGTCCATCTATCAGCTATGTCGTGCAATTATCGTTGTATCTCAATCGTCACTTTTATCGTCTTCGGCGAAGAAGAAGGACAGGACGAAAGAAAAAAGAAAGAGGAAAATGGAAGAAAAGAGGTGGAAACAGGCGTAGAAAAAATTGTTGGCGATAAAGATAAGACACGTACCTCGACCGCAATTCCTTTTGCTTTCGCTTACAGTGGATGTAAGCCGCTATGCAAATGATAACGACCAGGAATACTGCTATCGTGGCACCGCCGGCGATGCTGGCTGTCTCCAACATTACACGTTGTCGGGAGGCTGTAACGAAAACGTCACTTTCTTAGTCACCAGTCACCGGGCACAGAGCTTCCTGCCTCCTCGTACTAGCCTCTGATACGCGTTACAGATTGAACAAGGGAGGCTCGTTGAATTTTACATTGTATCAATTTACATTGTACTCGGCACTCGTGCTCTATCAGCAGCACTACTCCAGATTGGAACATGTGTACATGTGTATTTCGTAACGAGGAGGAGGTATACAACCAGAGTATCCAAGGACGAGATACTTACGTAAATAGGAACCATCTAAATCCTTGAACTCGCATCTCTGCCCGATATAACCGTTGGCGCATCTGCAAGGAAAGAAACCTTTGGTTAGATACAATGTTGTACGTCAAGCTGGATAAAAGAGTGGGTAGAAACGCGCGCGTCGGGGTCTTTATTGTTCGTACGCGGCACTTCCGTAAAACGCGGCAAGAAATCCAGGAAGCTATAAAACGTACTCTTTAGGCATGAACTGCTTTTAGTATCAGGCATTAATCAGATAGGTACGCCATCGCTCGAACCACCCAATTAGTACACTTAATTATTAACAGAAGAAAAACGCGGGAGTAGGGAGAAGAAGAGAGAAGCAACGATCATCGTGACGGATAAGACGAGCGAATGAGCAGATCGAGTAAAACGGCGAGAAGGGAAAAGAGAAAGAAGGAGAAGAAAGGGAAAAGAAACGCTCAGACATGGAGGAAGAACGACTGCCTGTAAAAACTTATCGATTCATAATAACGAGGTAATTAAAAGGATTCTCATGGTCGATTTCATCGAACGGTACCACAGAATGGTGATTCGCCCTTCAAGCGGAATAATTAGCCGAATCTTCGTCGAGATTAACCCGAAGGAAAAAAAAGATTTACCATTAATTGAAACCTGCGATCGCCGAATTAACCAGATCGTCAGGTCACGCTCAATTGTTTCTCAGACACACTCGCTGATAACGATGCACGGTCACATAACGATGCAGCCACGTATGCGCGTACATACGTACACACATGGACGAGAGTGCGGTGCTCGCAAGTGCGGTTGCCATAGTTTTCAGCGAAGCGCTCGCTTCTCTTCCTTCGCGGCGTGCCGAGCACTTGAGCAACGTTTCCGTTACTCCCACGCAACGATACGTTAATATTACCGATCCTACCGAGACACACTCAGATCCTGTCCCCCTTTTTTTTTTTTTTTGCCATAGTTTCAGCTGGAAACGCCAGCAAATCATTGCGGAAGGCAATGTCTATCGTCGATAACGTAATACTTCTTAGAATATGAGTTGAAGTGCCAAGGCCTTAATACTTCCACAATAATTGCTTGTTTGTATAGTAGTATGTATATATATATTATTAATATAATATATATATTATTAAATAATTTGTTATAAATTATTATTATTATTTAATAATAAATAATAAATTATACATGTTTATGATAAATAAATTATTTAATAAATACTAAATTATTATTAAATATTTATATATAATATATGTGTATATATATATATATATATATATATATATATATAATTAATTGCTTGTTTGTATAGTAATATGTATAGTATATCTATATTATTAAATAATTTATTATAAATTATTATTATTTAATAAATAATAAATTATTATTAAATATTTATATATAATACATATATATGTGTATATATATATAATTAATTGCTTGTTTGTATGTATATTATTATTATTAAATAATTTAATTTTCGCAAATTTACACTACCGATCTAAAGTCTAGATACACGTAGTAACATCAGTATACATTTCTGTCACCGTGCGATACAATTAAGAAATGTGCAAAAATTCAGCGAGATATTAAATTAATCGTAAGTACGAAATATAGGTATCTATAGTGAAAGACAAAGTTCAAACTCTTGATCTATGCTATATAACGAATTCCAATCAGCGTGAAAGTACCAAAAGTATTAACTTGCCAAAGTTTCGACATGTTCATTATCAGAATTACTCCGACGAGTATCTCTATGAATCTTTCCTCACACAACCGAAGGAAGAACAAACAAATCACAATTAAATAGCCGCGCATTGCAGAAGCGATATATCGCACGTATCTACGTGGCGCAATGATTTACATCGGTGGCTTACTTTCAGAGCACCGTTTATCGATCTGATCAATGGCCTTCCAGTAGATTTCCCAAGCCGTTTGCGCTTAATTATCACCGGTGTCGACCGATGAAAAGAGATTTGCGCACGTCCGGATCACGTAAATCTGGTTTCCTCCGCGTTTGACGTCATTGCGGGCGCGCGAACTCGCCTGACCGCCACCAACCTTTCAGAGCTCTCTAACGTTCGTTTGCAATTGCCGCGGAAAATTACGCAAAAGTCCGATTTTTCACGATTTTTCTCTACTTTCGTTTTACGATCGTTTTGTTAATCCAAAGCGAGACAAGGGCGAGACACGAGTCAATCGGCTCTCGTTAGCAAATGTCGTCCTCGTCTTCGTAACGAGGCGCTCGCGCGTTCACCAACGCCGCAAGAAAGTGGAAACGTCTATTATCCCCAGCACTTTCCACCGCAGGAATTTTCTCCTGTCCGTTTCACGGAATCCTCCTGGTCCGCCCCGCGGAAATTATGGGAGCGCGAACGAGGAAAAAGTAGCACGCGCGCGACGCTCGCGAGAGGAATCGGCCGCTGACTCGCTCTCGCGTGTTGTTTTCGGTGTGTCTGCATGGAAAACTGATGAATCGCGCTTGAAAACGACGAAACGCCGAGTGAAATGTTGTTCGCACGCGCGTGAAATAATATTTATTCTCGCATTGGAATTAATGATTTATTCTCGACATTGACGAAGTGTGATGTTATCGGAGGATTCTTCGATCATAGTTACGAATAGCTTTCTACAGCGGGGGATTTTGATTCAGCAAGTTTTTCACGGAATAACACTGACATCCAACAAGAGTAGGTACATGTTCTTTGATAGAGTAAAACTTGGATGATCCGAAGAAAAATATAAATCTTATTTAATTTCCCACTACAACACCGTGCAGGTTACATAACCATTCACTTTGAACATTTTATTTCGCTCTCGTATTTCATCGGTACGCTGTTATACAAAATGTAAAAAGATAAACTGGAGTAAATAGACAGCTCCTCTTGTAAGTAATCTTCTGATTATAGAGGAGTTTAATCTCTTCCCGCCACGCACGTCGAGAATTTTTTGTCCCAAAATTGCAATATATTCCTGCAGTTTTAAGTATATTTAAAGTATATTTAAATAGTAAGTATATTTAAAGTATATTTAAAGTATATTTAAATATAACTCAGACAAAACAAATAATAAATTTATTATTTCTCAATAATTTCTATCCACTGATATCATACCCGACGAGTTCAAAAAGAAAGCGACGAATTGTTGTATACGGTTTGGTCACTCGTTATGGTCCGCAATCAGTTGCTAGCGCAAGAGGTGAAATAAACGATTTCTAAATCCAAAGATTTCTAAAATTGGGGATAGATTTAATTGAATAAGGCCTTAATAAGAAGGATATAATCTGAAATCTTCGAACAAAACGATACCTTAATCATCGCGAATAACAATGAACAAAAAATATAAAAAATATAAAATGAAAATATAAAATATATTAAATAAATGTCCAGAAATTTTTAAAAAGGCGGACAGGTTTAATTGCCTTGATAAGAAGAGTATAATCTGATCTTCGAACAAAACGACATCTGAATCATCGCAAATAACGACGAACAAAGTATAAAAGTATAAAATATATTAAATAAATGTGCAGAAATTTTTAAAAAGGCAGACAGGTTTAATTGCCTTAACAAGAAGAGTATTATTTGGAATCTTCCAAGAAAACGTGAATCATCGCGAGTAAAATAAAGTAATAAATTTATTACTTCTCAATAATTTCTATCTGCAGTGATATCATATACCGACGAGTTCGAAAAGGAAAGCGACGAATCGTTGTACACGGTTCGGTCACTCGTTATGGTCCGCAATCAGTTGCCAGCGCAAGTGGTCAACAAAAAGCCAAAAAAAAAAAAAAAAAGAAAGTCCTTCAGAGCCAACGTCTATCCCCATTTTCTTTTGAGTTACCTTATCATCGGCCTCGTTCAAAAACCGACTTATCGATTTAGAAACCATCAAGATACCCCATCTTGATCTTTCGGAAGTTAAGTCAAGAAAAGAGATAAGTTGAAGGACGTGTTGGTTTACGATCATCGCGATCGTCCCAAAGAAAAGGGGCGGCTCGTACAATCGGTGGTTTCCACGGGATTCCACCGTTGGAATTTCTAGGTACGTGTCATCGGCACGTAACCAGGGATTAACCTTGACGGTGGCGAAAGAGGAACGCAATGATCCCTTTTTTCCACCAATTTCTCGCCTTGGATCCGTCGCGATTGTTGTGTCAACGCGATTCTCAAGCCTGGAGGGTGTGCGTGAGCAAGTAAAAAGTCGGCTGTCGTGTAATGTTCACGGGAATCCGGCGATCCTTTTCATTCAGGGTGGTATACGCGTGGTCGGGCATTCGTCCAGAACATTTCGAGATTCTGGGAACTTTCCCTCTCGGAGAATTTGTCCGTTGGAAAGGAAAACTATGGAATTGCTTTAAAATATGTTTGAGATCAATTCCTCAGGTCACACAGGTGTAAAAAGATGGAACAGGTACGATCGTGTTCTCTCAGTAAGCAAATCGAAAGTTACACGTGTTTCTTCTTTCTTTTTTTTTTTTTTTTTTTTTTTTTTTTTTTTAAATGAATTTAAACTCAATTTTCAGTCATAAATAAGAGTGGAACTGAATTAGCAATAAGATTTATTTTTTACTCTGAACGATTCTCTCTACAAATTTCAAAATTCGTATCAAAAAGAATGCTAATTAATTAACACTTTCATGGACAAGATTGTACGCCTGAATCTAAGAAATAATAGTAAAAAATCATAATCTTTTCTGAATATAAAAATTCAAGTTACCCCCAACGAACATGATATCTACCTAACAACATAATGCCTGCAATATTAATTGCAATTAATTTCGTACATAAAAAAATTTCTAAATGTCCACTTGATTGCTTGCGCATCGTTGAAAAGTATTTCGAAACTTCTGTCGCAAGAGCGTGATGAATCGTTCAAAAATATTTCTGCTGCGCCACATTGTGCAATCGCGAAAATAACTCTGAATTTTTCCTCCACGAGGAAAAGATGCCCTCTGGGTAATATCGAGAGATTCAATAACGATCGCCGATTCAAGAGCCAGTCGCGGCGTTCAGCCGGTATTTTCGTTTCGATTACACCGACTGGCTGCTATTTACCAAGGGTGTGTCTCGTTACGTAATATTCCAAAGCGTCTTCTCGCCGCTGAAATTCCACGCGTGATACGGCCGTGTCGCAATCCTTCCCACCGTGAGATAGTTCTGCTTCCTCTTGGAAAGCGTTCGTTCGAGAGGCCCTCTAAATGGGACGTCGATTTCGAACGACGTCTAGTTACACGAGGCCGGATTGTTTGCGAACCGATCCGGCAAGCCGAACGAAATCTTGATCGAACCTTCGCAAAGTGAATTTCTATGTTGTTTATAGAAACCTTCGGGAAAAAAAAAAAAAAAAAGAAAAGAAACGAAAATACACGGAGTCGAATGATTCGAAGGAGAGTTGACGCAAATGGACGCACTAACGTTACACGGATCGTAAATCATCCCGTGTAGTCGTGTAGTTACTTTGAACGTAAATAATCTCGGAACAGGTACGCCGTGACCGCGTTTGACCACGGGGGTAGACAGGGGTAGATCGATGGTTATCGACGAAAAACGACAGTAAAAGCTGCTCCCAAACGCCACGTGAGTCTGAAATTCTAACTGAAGTTAGTCAGACCCCAGGTCACGAGCGTGTTAACACGGTGGTCGTAGGTAATCAACTATGTCATTCCCATGAACATAATATTCGATATAGAATACTAGACAACACTATGGATTAACCTCTTGCGCTGGAATGCCACGCACGTCGAGAATGTTTTTGCCCCATATTGCAACATTTTCTCAGTTTCAAGTATATTTAAACGCAACGCAGGCAAGACAAATGATAAGTTTATTACTTTTTAATAATTTCTATCCAGCGATATCATACCGACGAGTTCGAAAAGAAGAAGAAAGCGACGAATTATTGTATACGGTTGTATTCGGTCACTCGTTATGGTCCGCGAACCAGTTGCCAGCGCAAGGAATTGAATATTAAATAAAATTAATTAAAAATTAAATTTGTTTTTTATTTCAATTAAATATTTTAATTAGAAAGAACAACTAAGAAATGAGTAAACTAACTAAAAATTAAGTATTCCACTCCACAAACAAAATATATATATATAAACATAATATTCAATATTGAATACTAGAAAATACTATAGATTAAATATTAAATAAAATTAATTGAAAATTAAATTTATTTTTTATTTCGATTAAACATTTTAATTAATAAGAACAACTAAAAAATGACTAAATTGACTAAAAATTAAGTATTCCACTCCACAGACAATATATATATATACATAAACATAATAATAATATAATTCAATATAGAATACTAGACAACACTATAGATTAAATATTAGATAAAATTAATTGAAAATTAAATTTATTTTTTATTTTAATTGAAAAAAGCAATTAAAAAATAACTAAATTGACTAAAAATTAAATATTCCATCCCACAGCAAAATAGATACATATATATATATATGAATTTCACGTGGCAGTGAACGTATGAATTACAAAACACGAATTAAGCCACGATAGAATAAACAGCGTTTCGAACTGGCAACGGAACCTGCCATTGGCATCATTCACGGTAGATGTCTGAAATGAACTTCGCTATGCCGGATAGATAATACGATAGGTAATAATCGGTTAACGGCTGTTCTATCGGACGCGAGAAGCACGCGAGTCGAACGAAAAATCGTGATTCGAATATTCCGCCAAGTCTCGTTCGCGGAACAACACTCCGGCTGCATTCTCATGCGCGTGTGGTCTTTGATCACGACTGCGTTTCCAGGCTCGAGGATCGTGTGTGGTTCCTTTGAAAAGGTCTCGGCAGGACGTTGGTAGAACGTGCAGCAGGCTAAATGGTAGATTTGATAGTGAAAGGTTTGTTAGCACAGCCGTTCTAGACTTGACAGAAATCACGTGGTAGCTTGTACCGGTTGTTAATTGCTAACTGCGAGAAGGAAGATCATGCAGATTGCGATTTTTGTACTGGCTACGTGTTTGGAGTGCCACACGCTTCGATGCTAGACTATACAGCAACTCATTACGTCAGGCCACAACAATTCTAGATTAAATCGTTCAATTTCGAAATTTTTCATCATCTGGTCTCTCATCGCGGAGAATGTAAAAAATACAAAATAAAACGCAGCGCTAGAAATTTCGGCGACCTGATATAAATTATACGATACGTCGTTTGTGATCCAACGATAGCTTCGAGAGTTGACACACCGAGACGATGCTAATTGAGAATTAACGTTGCGATTTCGTATTTTTACGAATGTAATTAAAAACCTGGAGTTACTTTACCTTTACCTCGTTATATATTCTTTCCTACAGTCTAATTGCGAAATATTGATACATTTCGAAACCCCAATCGTCCCCCGGTAAGGCGAATGCAAGCATTTCACCCCAGCCAGAGATCGTAAGAGAAATAAAATAAAGCGGCAGCGTACTTACAAACAATTGTAAAGGAGGGAATCGACGATTTTGACAGTGAAACATGTAGCACCGTTCAAGCAATACCATTCCGCATAATCCGGTGGACACGTGTACATGTGGAATGTGATGTTCGGTCGAGGCGTCGGCGTCGGTGGCCGTGGTTTCGGTGTTGACCGTGATGAACAGGCGTCTGTCAACAGAGATCACTCAAAATTAATCTACCGTACCTTCGCAGCCTCCTTGTCCCATCGGTGTTCAAACGTCTCTGCTAAATTGCCTCTAAACTACTAAAAATATTTGGACGTTGGCCCCCGTCGGAAACGTCACGGATCTTATCCCAAGAGAATTTGGCACCCCCCCGAGAGGAGCCATCGTTGCCCATCGGAGAAAACGGAATCAGGACGAAGTGAATGAATCGATAAAGGCTATCGGCGAGAAAGCTCGTAAGCTTCAAGTCTGTCAAACGACGTGAGTAAAATTTGCTCGATTAAATCGTGTAACGACCAAAGGGTCAAGCATCATTTATCCCATTACCGAGGACAAGGGAGAGGCGAATTGTCGAACGGCTGCTTTAGAAATTCCGACGGCTTCCAGGTTTGCCGAACACAAAGGGCGGCCCGGTATTTTAGGGCTGGCCTAAGTGCTCGTGCCTCGATTCACTCCCTCACCCAACCCCTGTGCCTCCTAGAAACTTAACTGGAAAACCGTTTTTTTTTTTTTCCGCCCTGTTATCCTACGTCAGTGCGATGTTTCTGACGTAGGATGCCGACTTTGATCATCGGTGATCACTGTAATTTGCAATTGGAGAATTTGTTATTCGTATCTACGACGAGATTTCTCGTTTCAATTTGTCAAGAAGCAATTGCCGTGTATTCTCAAGCGATGGTCAGAAGCCTCAGGGTAAAAATTTTCCATTTTTAACATTCGATACGTATATTTTGTAACAACGATTAACCTCTTGCGCTGGAACGACGCGCCACGTTGCAATATTTTCTCAATTTTAACTATATTTAAATATAACCCAGGCAACGACAAATAACAAGTTTATTACTTCTTAGTCATTTCTATCCAGTGATATCGTACCGAGGTCAAAAAGAAAGCGACGAATAATTATATATTATATTATATTATATATATATTACATATACGGGTTTGGTCACTCGTTATGGTCCGTGAACCAGTTGCCAGCGCAAGGGGTTAATAATATATTAATAATTGCTTTCCTTTCCTTTCAATTTCTTTAAATTTAATAGATATTTAATAGATATTTGATCTATCGGTGAGAAGGTGGTTTTTCTGTACGAGTAGTATTTTTACACGAAACACGATGTCATATCACGAAGACCAACCCCAAGGAACCCCAAAAAGGAACGCCAGGCACTCGAGACTCGCCGCATTAGTCCAGCATACCGTCGAACAATTTCGAAAGTTGGAAAATATTCGCGCACACGACGCGTGAAGCTCGGTGAAGCCGGGTGAACGAGAGAGAGAGAGAGAGAGAGAGAGAGAGAGAGAAAGAGAGACGTGCCAGAAGCTACGGAGCTGCGCAACAACACGACGTTCTCGTGTAGAACGGCCGCGTCGCACGTTGCATCCGCCTGTGCAAGCCACGGGTCTCTATCTGTCACCTGTTATAATTTTGCGACGCGGTGGTTCGAACCCGACGCGATCGACGCCAGACGATTCTGCGTGTGCGTTCTCTCGTTTAAAGACGCGTAAACGTGAAACTTGAAAGAACGAACTTGTCCTTTGTCGGAACAAAGGAAGTAGAGCGTAACCATCTTGCATTGTATTTTATGCTATGCTTTAAAAAAAAAAAAGAAAAAAAAAAAAGAAAAGAAGTTTTCTGGATAGAGTAGAAGATAACTGAATTCAACACGATGGGGGAATGATCCGTTATTTGGTAAAATGTTTGGTTTCTTGCGGACTCTTGCAATTTGGTCAAATTACTTTCTTTTCTCGCCCCTTTCCAGAAGGCCTCGAGGTCCAGGGCCATATGTGTACAAATTCGACGGAATAATTTACGCGATATGCACGTAATTGTGCACGGGTGATCAAGATCCGAGAAAGTGTCGCACGTGTCGCATTCTTGCAATCTGTCGCCGCCACGCATCCACTCGCGGCCATTTTTCGGCCGCGAACGTTGCAATTTGTTAGCATTGTGCCTCTCGGTAACGCGGTGGATAACTCTACAAGACTGCAATTTCACGAGACACATATGTTCGCAGCTTTTGTAACCCGAGGAGCGTCTTACGTACTGGTCTCTCGAATTTCGAACAACTTTAGACAGCAAATTCTAAAATTCTAAAATCTGTCCAGCTCGTTTTCAAATCGACGAATGAGAGACCAGTCCGTGCAAGCGCGGATTTTATCATCATCGCGGATAGGATACGATGTACAGCTGACTGACTCAACTTCGAAAGCGTCTCACCGATAACCACTTCACTGATTCGTCACTGATATTTCACTCGAACGTACAACGATAATGAAGTTGAGTCGGTCAAAAAAAAACAAAAAAAAAAGAAAAAAGAAAAAAAAAGGAAAGAAAGAGCAGAAGTACACACACACTCACGCAAAAAGAAAAAAAAAAATTTACAAAATCACTAACCTGCTATACCGAAGAGGGTGTAAGAGAGGATGAGTAGAGTAGCGAGGTAGGACGGGATCCAGCATCCTCTCGTCATGGCAGTGACGGTGGCAGGGTTATCGGTGGTACCATCCGCGTGACGATCGCTTCTCCTCCGGACGATGCGATCGACGCTTTTGTCCCGATCGCACGGCGATCTGTCGTCCCGCAGCCGCTGATGGATATGATGCAGATGGTGATGGTGGTGGTGATGATGGTGGTGATGGTGGTGATGGTGGTGATGCAAATGATGGTGATGGTGTTGAAGGTGATGGAGCTCGTGACGTATGTCTCGATGAGGTGGAGCAGCGGTAGCCTGATCCTGGCACGTAGCCTCATCGTCGGCTTCCTCGTCGACGACGAGCTCGTTGCTGCTAGCCACGCTGTCCCTCCGTTGGTGACATCGATGAGGCTGTAGTTGTTGTTGCTGTCGCTGGTGATGATGACTATAGCGACGATGTATATGATGCAGGTGATGACGACGGTGGCTGTAGTTGGTGGTGGTACTGCTGTCGCCGCAGCAGACCTCGCCATCCGCCACCGGTGAGCAACTAACCTCTTCGAGCACGCTCGCTCCTACCGCTTCGCATCCTCCCCTTCTTTCGTCCAGGCCGTCCACGTAGCCTCCCACCCCCGCCGCTACTGCTGCTGCTGCTGCTGCCGCTGCTGCTGCCGCTGCTGCTGCTGCTGCTGCCGCTGCTGCTGCTGCTGCTGCTGCTGCCGCCGCCGCTGCCGCCGCTGCTGCTGCTGCTGCTGCTGCTGCTGTTGCTGTTGCCTCTTCTGTTTCTTCAACGGCACGAGCTCCACCACCTGGCCCGGAGCTCCGGCGCACGTGCCGCCGCCTCCCTGTAACCAAATATCCGACCGGCCGGCCGTTTACAGTGTGTTTTATCTCAGCCTGGCTCCGCTTCATCTAGCCGGCTGATCCACGCACACCCGGGGGTAGTTAAACACGTCGTGCCAACCGGCCGCGAATAATATATCCTTGCTCGAGAGGATCGACGCAAGTGTGTGTATGCGTGTGGTTTTCGTCCGGCTACGTGGCAAGCCTCTGTGTGGTTAGTGTGTATTAAGGGAGGGGGCAGAGAGACTTCTCGACGTGAAATTTTCATTAAATTTTAGTTTCATTAGCAGAAGGAACCGGAAGAGTTCTATATTTCTCTTGGGAACGGAAGCTGAATTTTTACAGTTAGATTAGAAAATAGTTTAAGATAAGGGCAGGAGTTTTCGTGAAGGCTTTACCTTTAGGAATAATGGTTGTTGATTGTTGTAAATGAGATTATAAGTAGGATTTAGTGTGCAACTAAACCCGGTTTACACAGTCCCTTTTCGTGTCCTACATTTCTCTTATCATGGAAATAACTGCAATTAGCCCTTCGTGACGTCTAACGATCCCAATTCGAGACAGCGATTTACCACTGAATATGCATACTATCAAAATAACGAGACAACGTAACGTTCGCGCCGCACGCGACTGATCTTCGCAAATTTCTCCGACCTCGATACACCGTTTATCTTCAAAGAATATCTAACCGTTCGATACATCGTATGTATCTCGGGATACGATCGAAAAGAAAACGTACCCGAGTCGTTACATTTCACGTCGTCATTTTGAGGAACGTTTCTCGTGATTGAAAGAACGGTGGGGGGGAGGGGGCAACAGTATATAAATATCCAAGAGTAAATATTCCTCGAGATAGATAGCACGCGAGTGTTTTCGAGAGTTGCCACCTCATTGCCAAGGGCCAAGGGTGGTATGTAAACCAGAAACGCACGACCACGTGAACGCGATACTTTTGTGAAACGGCCGTTTTTCAACACAAAGTGCAAAGCTCTTCCTTGTTAAACCCATGAAACCCATTGTGCCGCGGTTAGGCCACAGGCTGCCATTGTACCCTATTTGGAGGTAAAATATTTACCACGACAAGAAATTGTTTTCCACATTGCGGCCTCTTAAAACCATCTGCCGCCCTCGCGTCGATTATTCTCGACGATTGGATCAGGTTCCAGTCAATCCATCGTTCGTTTCCGTTTTCTCGCGAGATTTTAGGGTGAGTGTTTCTCTCATTCAACGAGCACGCTACGAAACGATAGTACTGGAAATTGAAATATCTCTAAGCTATTGAAATAAATTGAATTCCATCGTAACATGATAATTAAAATTGAATTGAAATGCTGTAAATTTCTTTTACCAAACGAAACCAAAGGAAACTCTAGCATTTTCAACTGGACTTGTGATAAAATTTCATCAAGTCGCAATGTTGTTTTCACAGATTCGTCTTGTGTAAATGACATAAATAATAAACAGACTGAAGATCTTTCACGTTGCATTCTCTGCAATTTATATAAATTTACATGACAAATTCGTAGTCTAGTAAGAAGCTCATTTTTTTTTATACTGTTAATACCATCATGTTACTCTCTAAAAAAAAAAATGCTGTTCTTGTTACGAGCTACTCGATTCATTTTCACAAATTAAAAAAAAAAAAAAAAGAAAACATTACTCGTTTCGTATGCACGAGCAATTAAAGAGTAGAAGAACATCTTGTTCAAGAAATGGCATTGCTCCAGAAAAATGCCACGTCTTGTAATCCTTCGTCGTAACGCTTTATTAACCAATCCCCTAAGAGCGTATACCTACATGAACGCGATCTATTGAGTACGAACTCGATCGTACCCGATCCGATCTCAACCGGAATCGTTTTTCAGAAGACATTCCAGATTTCACGACGACCTTGTCCCAGTAACGAACACGTGTCGCAAGTTATATACGCGATATTGCTCTCTCGCGACAACGAACAGTCCAACTAGTCGATGCACGCCGTCCATTTCCTGTCAGAGTGTTTCGAGAAAACAAAGTCGCAATCTCGTGAACAAAGTTAACTCGTGGAGGATTCAGAATCTGATCAGCGTTCGTTAAGGACAGTTTAAGCAATTTGATAAAAACTCTCGTTACGATATATTTATTTTTTAATTTTAATTATTTTTCAATTAACATTTATCACTTTCTGGTTAACAACTATTACCGTCATTTTAATTTTTAATAAGAAATGGCTTACACTCATCCTCACACTCCTCATGTAATATCTTCGTCCATGGATTTTAAGGTCAGTATACAGTCAAGTGAAAGTAACTCGTTCTTCGCGATCTTTTCATCAGTCAATATTTTTTTCCCCCGCCCAAAAAAAAAAAAAAAAAAAA